TTATCATCCCTTTGCATGAAATTCTCGGATTTGATCGTATTAAAGAATTGGAGATCGAAGTTTCTTTGAGAAAACATTTCATTAGAGTGGTAAATATGTATATTTTTTCTATAATATTACTTTGAACTTACAAATTTGAAAAAATTTACTCTATACCTTTTACTCAGTACTATCATAATAAACATAAAAAAGGTTCCTGTAAATACTTTGCATCAACATTGATTAAAGATCCAACAAGTAAAAAAAAATAATCTTTTATACTATTTAAGTAACTTTATCAACAACTAATTTATCGTTTGAATTTAAGGGGGCGCCTTGCAAAGAGTAGAAAGAATGGTGCTAAGATTAAACGACTATGTAAACCCCGCACTAGTGATTATGGTCATTGAAGCAATTAAAAAAAACATCCCAGAAAAAAAAGAAATTACCAACAAAGTGGTTGGCTATTATGTCATTTGTATAGTACTCTTTTTTGTTTCACTTATGAGATGATTAATTCTTGTTAAACCAATTTCTATAGTGGAAATATGTTTCAAACAAAAAAACAGAACATCTTTTTTTAAACAAAATGGTAGGACAAAAAAATTAACTATATTCACATGATTTTTTTTTATTTTAATCTATATATTTTATTTTACTTTTTTGTACTTTTTTTATTTTAATTATTTTACTTTTTTGTTCTAGCTTGAAATCATTTGTGTCTTTCTTATAGGTCACTTAACCATAACTTTCCCGTATAAAGGCACTATTAACGATATTTTCGATCATATGCAAAAAGCCCTCGGCATCCACCTTGATTTTCATCAAATGAGATATACGAACGTTGTGGGCGACCTGATTGATTTGAAAAATGAGGAAGATTGGAGAGTTGCCAAATGGGAAGCTATTAGATGGCATAACGGGAAGATGGTGTTACAAATCGGGAATTACTTGTAGTTCGCCATGCGAAAATGTTTTTTATCTACGTATCATTTCCTAATATATCAATCTGCAAGGAAGATTCCAACTTGTCAACAAATAGCTAACGCTAACAATGTCGTTACACATTAATATTGTTGAAGAATAAGATATTCAGATATGAATTTTTTTTTTCTTATTTTGCATAAGTGCTGTATCACTTCTTTCCTTATCTGTTATTCATTCTAGAAATGGAAGAGTTTATACGCATATTATTCTAACCATGCGCTTAATCACTCATTTTTTAAGATAAATGGTAAATCTCAAAAGTTTTGCATGCATTTGGCTTCAATGATAGGACACATAAATGAAACAAAGTGAAACAATTTCTACATTGATATACATTCTGTATTACACAATATCCAAAATCACTATAAATTCGCCGAAAAATTTCTGATTCCGTTTTTTTATTTTCTGATTTATAGGTGTCGTTAATAAGTTCGAAGTTTTCATTCTCTTTATTGCATTTAGCATGTGTTAAATTATTCATTCGCTAGTTCATATATCTGAAGTGGATCGGATTGGCAAAGCGCGCATTTAGCTTTAAATCATTCATTTAACCATTCATTACTAGCAAACCATCTCTAGAAGCGAAAACTTAAAAAAAACCTACATCTTAACTATAATATTTCCTCATTATAAAAATGTCACTTTTTAAACGAAAATTATCAACAGATAATATTCTTATAAAGAAAGCTTTAATCCAAGAGAAAGTATCTCTCGTGAGCAATATTGATTATATAGATTCCGATTCCGATGTAAACGATCAGAATGAATCACATTTCTTTTCGGTAATATGGTCAGGTAACAGCAAATCCCTCACTTGCAACTTTGGTGATCTTCCACATTGGCTGCAAGATAATGTCGATATTCTTAAAGGTACTGAATAAATGTAATTCTAAATGGCTGGCTTTACAGCTATTTTCATAAATTTTGAGGCAAATGAAAAAATCGCCCAAGACCGAATTAATTCGGCTGACATCGGTGAATTATTGATTCCAACTCCGTAACTTAACGATTCGGCCATCGGAGTCGTCCCAGAATTTATGAAAACAACTGTAAATTTCTTGTTTTCCCGTTGATCTAAAGCTCGTGATTGCATAGGTTATCGAAGGCCAACTTTTTCATATATAAAATGCTTGCAATCCCTATTCTAT